CTCAGCCCTTCCTCCCTGCCACCATCTGCTCTGGAAGTTTAGCATCTTAAAAAAATGCAGGGTTTAAGCCATTTAGGAAATCTGAATATTATACGCAGCCTCTCACACAATTGAGTATATGCATGTTCTTTACAGTTGTGGGTAATATAAAATTGTATAAATTCATATGCTTAGTTAAGAAAGAAAAACTGCTGTAATATTTAACATAAACTTCTAGAAAACAAACAAACAAAAAATCAGAATTAATCTCCCCCTAATAAACAGACTGAAGCAAAGCAATGCAAAAATAAAAAGTTACACTGAAAAATAAATATTAGTAAAAAAAACCCTTACAAGTTGTGATCAATATTATGAAACTGAAGAACTGAAGGGAATGTGTAAAAAGTGGTAAATCTTTTAATTTAAAAATTCAATTAAGACATCCACATTGGCCTGCTCTGTAATAGTCTAATACAATCACGATTAATTTATGAATGTCAGTTCTGGATTTATCATCGCAGACTGTACTATGCTTACTTTTAAAGTCACGTTTAGTTTCTTTCATGTGTTTTCCCCTTGTAGTACAACTCTCGACTAGGGTTGTGAGCTTCAGCCTAGAGAAACATTAATGTTAGCCATGTATGAAAATACCTGCAACATACGTCTGATTGAAATACCCGGTCTGACACCCCATTTCCCTGAGTCCTTTAGCATTCCCACTTGGTAACCTCATCACTCGTCCTGAAGGGAAGGGGCCTTGGGAGCTGGTTTAACTCTCAAGGATTAACTCTCCTTGAGCAAAGCTTTTCGACAGCCTCCAGACTGAAGCAAGTGCTGGAGGTGGATTTTTGCCAGTAGAAATTTCTTATCCACAACTCAGTTATCTCTTCATCATCAGTGACTACCTCCTCCGTCACCTGTGACACAAATAAGCCAAAGAAATCACATAGCCTTTCCTTTCATAGTCATATCGCACTGTAGGGTGACACAGATTCTTCAACCCATCTGTAGTGCAAACAAGCTTATGGATAACTTTGGATCATATTGATTTCATTTTTATGCATTTTGCAAATGATAGATAATGTGTTGGTCAGCTTTGTTCAATGAAGAGTGTTAATTCAGAGATGCAATTAACAGCCACAGAGTATTGCCAATAATTTTATCAAGTGAAAAATTTTATAGTGTTTTTCCATGTAGATGAAACACAAAAGCTGTACTTAGCCACCTAAACATTAAGATAGTTTCTGTTGAAATTGAAGGCACAGAGTAGCATCATATTATTGTTATTACTGCTTTTATATGTATCTTACACCACTACATTTTCTGCATGTCTCCCTCTCACTGGACATCTTACAGATTCTGAGAAAAAAATCAACCTTTGTGTCTATGAGACCTGGCCACTTTATAGAAGGTCTACTCTAGCACGTTGCCTAAATTTTTCTCAAAATATCAAAATATGATGAGTGCCAAAATTTTAGCAAAATATAAAAATATCCCTAGCTTTTCTGTAATTAAGGTATTTATTATTACTTCATCATGTCATTCTTTGTTATTTCCTAGTCTTTTTTTTTTAGGTCCCGTGAAGCTCTTTTTTGCTCCCATATATTGTGCACCATGGGAAATATTAAAAAAGAGTGTCTCTCCAATGTCTCTGAGAATGAAAATAATATAGGCAGCCTTTCTGAGTGTGGAGCAGGTTTATTTATTTTGAAATTCAGAAAGGCACTGAGTGAGCACTGACGCAGTGAGGACAGCAACTGACCCTCGACTGGGGGACTTGCTCATTGCTGATGTGGGGCAAAAGCCCCCCCTCTGCTCCAAGCCCCATGACAGGGGCAGGCGTAAGTCATTTTGGGGACTGTGCCAGGAGGGGTGCAGGATGAAACTTTTTCCTGTGAGATACTCAGAAAGTTGACTTAAGTGTGTGTAAGTGTGTGTATTTGTGTGGCAGTAAGGTGCACCAAATATGGATGAAGCAGGTTTGAAATCATCTGCAGGCTTGGGCTGATGATGCAGTTGTGGAGGGTTAAAAGCTTACAACCCATTTTAAAAAATGACTCAAGAACAGTATTTTAAAAGTAATGAGACCACTGCAACAGGAAAGGGATATCTTCTGAAACACTCAAACATGTTAATTACCTCAAACAAATGGAAGTCACTGGGGACTGGACTCTTGGCTGGCTTCGCAATATCAGCTGAATTTTTAAACACCAAAATATATTTTAAAAATCTGTCCATGAAAAGAAAAGTGAAATTTTAATTAACTGCATATATGAAAATTATATTTTTAATTATACAGCTCTGTTTACACAATGGTCCAAGGCCCTTTCATCTGCTGTTCTGTAAGGTGCTAACATGGTTAAGAGAAAAACACAAAAATCTCCATACAAAGTGTGATGGAGAGAAAGCTCCAAGAGCACAAAATGACTGCTAGCTGGATGCCACTAATTCTGACTTATTAACTCCAGTATTCCCAAAGGGTAATGGTCAGTGATTTAGGATTTCTTCTTCAAGCTAGATCAAACTACTGTACCTTTTTTGGTCATTTTTGTTTAGACCAAACTATTTTTTTAAATTATGAATGTGCAAATAATATTTTTGAAAGTTTGAGCATTTGCTTTGAAATCCCATTTGAATTCACATGACAAGTTTTTCCATTGAACGATTGTTCTTAGTTATCTTTTCTGATACGCCCATGTGCACTCGTCTTCATAATGAACTATGGCCCAGGGAGATATAGTGTAACGGCTGAAGCTTTTGTTTCCACTTTTGCTGGGACTATTATTGTTGTTTGATGTATTTTGTCATCTTTTGTAATTCAAATTATCTTCTGTTATAATAAAAAAATTGACACAACAAAATTCAGATATTACAATCTGTAAAAAAAGCATGCATATCATACATTTGCAATAAATCACTTCTATCCAGAGGTCAAAATGGAAATGCAGAACTGCCAGGAGCTGTTCTGAGTGATACACACTTCCAGCCTTTTTTGGTTTCTTATCAATGCTCCTATATAGCTTTCACATGCAGTGATTTCTTGATAATCTAAATCAAATAAGTTTTATCAGTCTGCTTTCAAGAATGCTCCAAATATAGTCTGCTGACCCACCACTCTGAAGGACTGCAGAGAGTTTGAGAACTACTTATTCTGAAGCCATGTTTACCCTTATTTTATGTATTTCCCCTACCCAGAAAGTATAGAACTAACTCTGAAATGCCAGAATACTGGCCCACTTCAACCAGTGACTATTGCATTAGTAATATGGATACTTTACATATTACTGCAATAATGATGATATCAGTATGGTATGAAATATTAAAAAACCTGCAAAAATAACATTAAAAATTCTGCAGAATAAAAAAATAAACCCTCCAAGCCAAACATCTGAAAAATCTAGAAGGAAAAATGTTTTAAAATCAGCATGGTTTGGAATATTCAATTAAGCAAAGGTTCTGAAATAAGATACTTTGTTTCATAAAAGATTATGCATATTTTATATACGCAACAAATTATTTTTTCTTTTTACTTAATCCAAAAGCCAATTTCAGATTGCTGAAAATTTCCCAGAAAAGGGAAAATCTAGATGTGATCCATTTAATACTGCCTGTCCCAGTTTGTCTCACTGGCTCATGCTGGGCATGTTGAGCTCTGTACCAATGGCTGAGGGACAGCAGGGCCCCGCACCACTGGCTTTGGTGGCCCCAGCCAGCTGCAAGGCAGAGAAGCACCCATTCTGAGTGGCGTGTAGGCATGGCATGCTGCAAAGCTGCTTAGCCAGCAGGAGCACAGGGCCTTGTCCCAGGAGGTGCTGAGTAACCCCAGAGGTGCTGAGCCCTCTTTTCCCAACTTGAATTCAGTCCTGGGAGATGCCCAGCACTGTGGTGGGCTTGGCAGGCTCAGGAGCACACCAGTCGTATTGCACTTTTGGGATGAAGCGTGCACCCTCCTCCCAGGTTGAGAGGCAGAGCAGAAGCTCACTCTATCTTTTTCTTGCCCAGGCAGTTCAGGTGTCCCAAGGATGCAAGGAGGGACTCACAATGCCTCCGCTGCAGAATGGAGGGACCTATTGCTAAGCAAAGTGGGGAATCTCCTTTGATTTCGCCAACCCTCGCATATTTGTGCTCTTGCCATCCAAACTGAGGCCAGAAGCAAGCTGTGCAGCACATCCTCCCTTTGCTGTTGTTCTGAGTAGCTCTTCAGTTTCTCTGGCACGGAGCATGGGTACATCTCCCGCCCCACCGTGTCAGCGAGAGCACAACCCATAGGAAGGGAAAGGTATGGCATGAGGAGGCTTTGCAGTTGGTGAAAGCAGAAAGTCTTCTTCCTCTGCTTCGGATATTCTTGTGGCCTAATGAATAAAACACTATTTTTTCCTCAGATTAATATGTTACCTCTTTAATGTAAAGCCATGCTGGGCTGAGTGCTGCACTTCTGTGAACAATGTGCATGGAACTGACTTCTTCACACCTGGAAGTAAACAAATGGACTTATATTTTAATTTAAACTAATCGTTTCTTAAAGTCCATGTTCTTTAAAGTAATATTCATTAAGCACTTCTGTTATACTTGGTGCACGAAGAAAACTGGTAATTGCATTCAAAGCAATGATAAGTTACCATTTTAATGATTCCTTATGTTGTGAGTAATTTATAAATTACTCTGTATCTTCCCAGCAAAGCTTGCCTTCTGTTTTTAAAATGTACCCTTTCGTATCCAACAAAGTGTTTCAGTGCAATAAGAATTAAGGTGTGTCTCTTAGCTTTTACCTGCAAGCAATAATGATGTTGTCAAGCGTTTCAGGTGAGACCAGCCCAGGATTTTGGGGTGGGGAAAGACACTCTGTTATACGGCATCTTCAGTGCTTCCCTCAGAGGGAGGCAGAAACACCCTGAAGAGCTGAGTATAAGGACATCTACCGAGTGTCTTTTTAAGTAGACACCAGAGTTGGGGGGGGAGGGGAAAAGGAACAGGCTTGTAACCGTACCTCACTTGGACTTGTATCCGAGAAGGCAGATGCCATGGATTGGCTCCCTCACCGAACGGCTGCTTTTCTGTTCCTTTTATTGGTAAGTCAGATTTTAAAACAATATTTGTAAACTTTGTGATTATGCCAGTTGAGTCTGCCTCAGCAGACCATTACATTTTGCAGTGTAAACTAGGCCCCCAAAAACATCATGTGAAATTTAGCATAATAAGCAAAGCTGTGCTTATTTTAAATGGCATTTCTGAAGATCCTATCCAAATACTTTGGTTTTTCATTAAATGCCGAAGAATGTTTCTTTTGATATTGACTTTCTGCAGTCTGTTGATGGTCAATATGTGACTTTCTATGTTGAATGCATGTCTTTTCAGGTGAATGTTGTCTGTGGCTACTATCTAAGGAGTCACTGTTATTAATAAAAGTCTTATCATTATAATAATCCTAATAACTTGGCTGGATATCATTTAGTTCTATGTCTTTTTTTTTTTTTTTTTTTTTAAATCAGTTGAGGGAATATGAAGAGCAAATCTCTTTTTCTAAGTCGATTAGCAAGAGCACTTCAGAGCTGACCAAATTCTACATTTATATTCAAAAAAACCCCACGAAATTTAGCAAAGACCTTAGCTTAGTAAAAATCAAGACTTGGCCTATTATTTTACACTGCAAAGAATTCCTGGTTTGTAGTGCATTAGCATCTGAGCCGCCATGTGCTGAGCAAGTGAATGCGTGATGAAACTGTCGCTCTTCGGGTTTGTTTTTCTCACTGTAAAAGGAAAGTTGTGGCTATGGTCAAGCGGCATAGTTGTACGATGTGTTCATCAAGGTACAGAAATTACCCAGAAAGGACTTAAAAAAATTATGGAAGCCCTTCTACTCCTACAACCTGATTTTTATATGGATTATTTTTAGTTCTCTGTGCTGCTTTTCTGAAATTAGGTAGAGTTTTAAGGCCCTGAAGATTGAAATGAGTAGTATTTCTATTGTTGTTATAGTTAAATCCTTCTGTGGCTTTCACACAATTTTACATTTTACACAATGTATTCGTAAGCATAAATGTTTGTTAGCTTCCTGTTACTGACCCCTCTAGAAATGTTATGCTAGGAGGAAAAGTGCTTGTTGTTATAAAATATGAAATCCTAAGATTTACTTTGAAAAGATAATCCATTAACTTTAGGCGACAGCTCTCCAGTCAGTAAAGTAGAACTAACCAGCACAGGGCAGCTGCCAAGCAAACAACGACAAAGCTTGGCAAAAACAAGTTACGGTTCGGATGAGTTTCTGCATGTTTAAGGCAGCACAGAGGCCTCTGAGATGTTGCACATCACCCTGACACTTCTGATTTTTTACGTAGCATTAGTGACTATTTGATTTATTCAGTTACCTGGTGATGCATATTCGTGTTGAAGTTTAAAAAAAAGTTGACTGTACTGTATCTGAGATCTGTCCATTCACAGAGATTTTACTGTTTTATCTTCTCTCGGCAACTCGAGCCATTTTCATTGTTTCAGTATATTATTGTAACAATTGTGACTGGTGCAGGGCATGTGTTGGGTCAGGAAAAAAAGGAGCCATTCTGAAAACTGCCATTATGTTTTCATGACTATCAAATATATGAATTATTACTACCCACAGGAAACAATTGTTGGTCTTACATGTTCTTCTGCCCAGCAGTGTTCATGGTGGCCTGTACAACTTAATAGCATCTTTCAGCACTTTATAGCAAGCTGACAGACAAACCATCGAGATTAAATAAATTATTAATTATGTAACCAATTTTAGTGTATTCTGAGAAACAGTCCTGGTTTTCAGCTTGATTAATCTTTCATGAAAATCACCTGTCTGAACGGTGTGTCTGGTCATTATATTATTAATAAGTTGTATCACATAAAACTGCTGTGTAGTTATACATATTTTAGTACATTACTACACTTTCAAAAAAAGGAAACTTACCAGCCCTGAAACTAATCATTTTCTATATGCATTTCACCACTGGTGGGACTGATTCTGCAACCCTTGCTCACATGACTTCAAAGGTGTTATTCTCATGAGTAAGGGAGTTCTGTTTGTGATACTTGCATAGACACGTTTTATGGAAATAACCTGTTTGATCAGGTATGACTCTTCTCCTGCCAGCTATCATGTGACAGCTAGTAATTGTAAATTCACCACATCTCTTTTACACACTTTTGTCTGGCTAGATTTTCCCATGTGTTATCTATGCTTCTTTTTTTTTTTCAAGTCGTTAGGGTATGGTTACACCTCCTACTCATAACTTGGTTGCGCATAAAAATACTAAGGGGCCAAATCCTCTCCTTGCATAAGCGTATGAAACATCTGCTAGGATGTAGCCAGGAACCTGCAGGCTCTTCTGCCAAAGAATTTTGTTGTAGAAATAGAAACTAAAGCAATTCCACATCCAGGAATTATCACCTAAGATTAGGTTCTTATGTCTACAGTTTTACATTCCTAAGTAAAAATGGCCCCTAAGCAAACATGCATTTGCAGCTAGAGCACTCTAAACCATGTTAGAATTCAAGTTGTATTGAGGACATTTATTGAGGAGACGTAGCATGACTAACTTGAAAAACTAAAATTTGAATTATAATGGCATACACCCTGTATTGAAATTACTTTTCTGTTCATTTTTCTAATGGATAAGCTCAGCTACTCTATGGAAATTCACTATATCTGTATGACTCAGCAGAACAGAAACAATCTCAGTGGAAACTTTCCCAAAGGAGTCAGTTCTTTGAATAAACGTGTTTTAAAATAAATAAACCTTTGGAATATATTCTTCTGACTGACAGGAGCATTGTCATACTTCTGCTGAAATACCAATGGATTCTCCATCCTGGGTGCAATATAAAATATTGATGTCTGTTACTAATACAGGAAGCAATAGAAACACCTGACTTGTGAAGAATTAGAAAGCAAAATGCCAGAAAAAATCATCCTGAAAACTTCCCCTTAAACTGGAAGATGCACATTCATTAGTGACCTACAAAAATGAAAAGTATGGACAAAACCACATTTGTGTTTCGATTAAAAAGTGATCACATGGCTTCTTTTTAAAATATGAGGTTTATCTTATGTTTCAACTCTGCTTTTCATTATTTCATGTGCACCGATTTATCATTTTTCAAAGAGATGCAGAATGAATAATGGGAAGGGTTCGTTATTTCAACCCTTTACTAGTCAGAGCTTTGGCTGAGTAAGAAAGACATAAAAGTCCCAAAACGCTGACACAACCAGAGCTACCATGGCACCCTGATGACTAATATAATATGTGTGAGTTCTCAGCACTCCTCCCATCCAGGCCAATAACAATACCGCTGCTGACTTCAAAGAGAGAGAAGCAGATCCAATATGAGTAATGCTGGGAAGAAGTTAAAGGTGTGTTCAGTCATTTAGATTTGAGTAGGTGGAGGAGGGAGGATTCCATAATTGCATATAATATTGCTTGGAAGTCAATTAATGATTAGTTAATTCTTGTTTGCAAATTGCTTTGAAGGTGCAAAGAACCGTATACATCCTATGGGCCTAATTCTGTTCCCAGTTACATCAGAATAAATCCAGAATAACGCCAGTGTGACTCTAAGGCGTCATTTTGGACACAAGGTTCAGGCTCTGTATCATTACAATAAAAGACAAGCTTTCGGACAGGCCACTGTGCAAATGACAGTCACCATAAACATGTTTCCCGCCTGCACCTCTCCCAGCCCAAACCAGAAACATCTTGTGCAACAAGCCTCTAGCTTCTCTGCAGAGTTTTCATTTTTTCACAGTCTCTCAGAGACTAACAGGACAGCAAATCTTCATATCATTCTGATCAGCTTGCCTACCCCAAGCTCCTCAGGATGCATCTCACACATTCCAGTGGCTCCTATTGCTTTAATTATCTTTAATCGCTGGATCTATGGAAAGTACTGTACTCAGATACTAGTTTAGAAGGGAAATTTGTTCACTACCTGGAAGTACGCTAGAGTTAGCTGCTAGGAGACAGCACTTCTCTGCTGAAAATAGTGCTAGAAAAAAAAAAGGGGGTGTATGGCAGAGAAATATTATAAATAGACAACTGGGGCGGGGGGAGCCTTCTAACTGCTGGTGATAGTGGAGAACCAGAAAACATCAGTTGGGGAGGCAAAGGAACACCCATCCCTGGATCAAGTTGGATAGATGTCACTCTAGAATTGTTGAGGTTTAGCTGATGAACCAGACAACTTTGGCATCTGCCTGCCCTCAGTCCTGTAACATGGCAGTAATTGAGAGAGACATACCAAACATAGACATCAAGTTAATCAGATCAGCCTTTTCAAATAATATCATAAACTGTACTAAGGACTCTGGATTCAAACCCATCTTCTTTCAAAGACCTTCTTTCAAGATCTTCCATTAGCAACATGCAGCAGAATGGGGTTTTCCTTAGCACAGGACAAGCATGGAAATACAGGGCCTAAAATTACAATCCCCAGAATTACTGATGAACAAATTCCTGACATTCCCATTATTGGTGCTCCAGAACAAAGGATGAAGCTCCAGTGTAAAACAAGCCTCCCTATAGGCTGAAATCAAGTGGTTTGTGAATATTCATGCCCTTAAAGAACAGAATTTTTACAGGCATAATTCTGACTTCAGAGATACTCAACGCAATTTTTCAGTTAGGGCTGCTGACTATGAGAGTGATGTGGTGGGATGTGAGATATTAGTTTCACTGTTAAATAACAGAATAGGCCACAGGATGCAGACAGTAGACCAGATTCACTAACATTGCACTGGGAGGTGTATAGCCATACTTTTCTGGGTCAAGACAATTGCTTGTGTGCCAGAAGGGATTTCAGCTTAAGGGTGGAGAGGATTTCACTGTGCTCACCAAAGGAGGCTCTGCTCTGCCAGTGGGATCAACCGATAAGAGACATTGAATCAGTACTATTTCTGGTGGACTTCGTCATTCAGGTTTCACCCTTGAGGGTTTCCCCAAGCTCCAAAAGGGATTATAAAAAGACAAGCTTGAGCTCCCACTGGGGTGACAAAACCCCACAGTTCCAATGGAGTCTGATATTGTCCCTTCTCTGAGATGAGAAATGGCTGCACATGGATTTGAAACCCATTCTGCAGCTGAAGATTTAAATAGTCTTCAAGACGTAAGATCAGATTAAAACATGTATTGATGCTTTTAGCACAACATGAACATTTTGTAATGATTTTCCTCAAGACTACTTTTCTTAACCATTTATGTCAATAGCTTGCTCAAAGAAACGAGAAAAATATCCTTATTCCATTAATAGTCCAATAAATTCCAAGGTATATGCACAACAAATGGGCAAATCCACAGTCTAAATTCTTTCATTCAGAAGCAGATTAGGGCAACCATTATGTGCCAAGGTCTCAGGAAATGTTGTGGGCAAGATCAGATCATTGGAGACATCACTTTGTAAGTGACAGATGGTGGACATATAGCATGGCATATATAGGTAAATGGGGAAAAGGGGGAAGAGTGAGGAAGGAGGTTGAGGCTGCTGTTCATTAATCTGTTGCATGTAAGAGATTGCTTTAACATGAAGTAAGTGGGAAAAAGTCTGTGCCCATCTTTCAGCCTTGACAGAATAATGCAATAAATATGAAGTGAGGAAAGTCCCATGAGGTAAAGCTACCATAGAGAAAAAAACTGTCACAGATTTTATCCAAGCATAACTGACATAAAACCTGCCAGATAAAACATGTCACACACACACACACAAAAAGCTATTGGAACTGTACTGGGAAATGATAAAGAAAGTGGGAAAATTATAACTAGAGCTGTTAACCATATTTGGTGAGGAAAGAGAAATTCTGCAACACTTTTTGAGTCACCTGGATATTTTATTTCTCCCAATGATGAATGAAGCATGCATCCAGTCCTGCAAATCCCATATTCGTATGAAGAGAGCAGAGGCAGGTCCTAAATCCAAGAGATGCTCTGAAGAGGTACATTCACCAAGTGAACTTCATTTTCACACCTTATTTAGGAACAACATTAACTAAACTGTGCCTTCTTTTAAACTGTGCTAATCAAGAAATTGAGGATTCTTTATTATTTTAATTTTAAAGTAATTACACATTGCATCTGATCCTGCCACCTTTATTTACTCAAGACTTTTATTGCATAGTTAGACCTCGAATCAAAGCCCACTGCATTCCAGGGAAATCTGCCTGATGACTGCAGTTGACTTTCTGTCTTACATTGAATCTCTACAACCTCAGAGGGAAGTTTCAAGAAAACATTTTCATTCTGTTTGGTTAAACTACATAGTTAAGTACTCCAAGACTACTGTGGACCTTCTAAATAAGAAAAAATAAAGAATAAATTCTTTAGAATAAATAAATACTGTTTTTCTAGTTTCCTAGACACACTTTTTAATAACAACTCTTGCAAGCACTTCTCTCTTCAGCTGAGGTGTTATAACTTAAAAATCTGTGTGAAAGCTGTATTTTGGTGTAGGTATAACTTGAAATTTGCTGTGGCACATCCATTCAAACTCAAAATTCTGCCTTGAAAGATAGAGTTAATTTTGAAGATGTTAACTGTCAAGGAATTCAAGTGATAGAAAAAAATTAACTGCACAAAGTCATTTATTAAAATCCCGTAGCTACTACCTAGACAGGCTATTGCAATAGGCTTGAGAAAAAGTACTGCTCCAGTCCTGCAGTATAGCAGTGTATGGCAGTTGGGTTTTGTTTACTGCATTTTGCCCTGCATTTTTATATGCAATCTTCTTATTGTTCTTGCAGGTACTCTTGGATTTCAGCACAGGATTTCATGTAGAGGTAATATATATTTCTTCAGAAACTGATTTTCTGATCAAGTGAAATGTAATCAATGCAAAAATGAAATGGAAAATACTGAACTAAGACATTTATGAAATTGAAGATTGAAAACATATTTAAATATTAAACAGTTGCAGATAATAACCTGTTCACCTTCTCAAGAGAAGTTCTCCTGAACCTAAAAGAGTATCTCATATACAGGAATAATTTTAAAGTAAACATGTACAGTCTTAGAGACTGGGACTCACAGACATACAAAAAGTACATGATGTTTAAAAATCCCATTTCTCCGTATTGTTGGAAATTCTAAATTTCTGTATTACTTTAAAATGGATTGAGATTACTGGTCATATGATACTGGAACTTTCTGTCAAAGGTAAAAGAATGGGATGACAAAGGAATGGCAATATGGAAAACCTTCAGAAGGCAAAAACGTGAATGGATCAAATTTGCTGCAGCTTGTAGAGAAGGAGAAGATAATTCTAGGAGGAATCCAATTGCCAAAGTAAGTAGAAAGAAAAACAAAAATGTTCACTGACAAGGAAGTTTTTCTAAAGACAGGCTGATAAAAGAAGAAAGATTTAAAAGTATATTTGCTTAGAGCAGTCAAAGCAAGGAATGTAGAATAACAGAAAGATGATGCAATATTTCCAGCTCTGCTGAGACGGTCTCATAAGGTGAACCCACATGGCTGCTGAGGAGTGACCAAAGGCTTCCTAGAACATTGCTGTCAGTCTACCCCCTGGACACCTCCAACCATAGTCTTCGCGTGCAGTGTCTGTGTACTACACCACAGTATTTTTCTTTCCCTCTCACCCTGAGAAGTTCAAGTATAATGCATGACTGCCGTGGGCAACAGAGCAAAGATGTCTTATACTCTCACCATGACTGCACCCTTACTGAGGTCCAGCCGCAGCATGATACTCTTGGAAGTTTCTCTCTCCACTTCCCTTCCAGAAGAGTTAAGAGAAATAGAAATCCTGTCCAGCCCTTAAGGGGAGATGGATCTCTAGGCTTACTGTTTTGTAGAAGAGCCTTCCATTGGTTCTGTCAACTGAACGTTGTGATACGTGGTTGAGAAACTGAAATTATATTGAATTTTTTACAGGAACTAATAACAGGGGAAAAAAAGCCCTGCAGGTGTGCTCAGTAAACTGGCATAAATTATTATTATCTATTATTGTAGATCCGATCAGATTGTGAAGAAACTCATCCAGTCACATACAGCATCTCTGGAGTTGGAATTGATCGCGTCCCCTATGGAATATTTGTTATTAACTCAAGAACAGGAGAAATTAATATAACATCAATAGTGGATAGGGAAGTAACCCCAGTATTTGTTGTAAGTACTCCCCCTTTTTTTTTTCCTTTACAATGATGGATCCAGGGTGGGGCAGGGAGAGCAGAAGGAGACAAATTCTTTTTTTTCAGATTGTTACTCTGCTTGCTACACTTTTGGTTTTAAAACTAGTAAATCTCTTTATCTAGATACATTGCTTTGCTAAACACTCTCTGACGGGTGTAGATTTGGAACCACCTCTTGAACTTCGAGTCAAAGTTTTGGATATAAATGATAACCCTCCTATATTCTCACAAACTGTATTTACAGGATCTGTTGAGGAAAGCAGTATGGACAGTAAGTAACTATGTTATGCCTATTATAGTAGTTAGTGAATCTCCCAGAATACAGTTAATATAAACCTGGGGTGCTCATTCTACTTTTTCTTAGGCAATGAAATATATTGGCCAGGGCTACTGCAGTGAATGGGGTAGCAGGGCTATTTGAGACGGGGTCTGAGCTCATTGCCTAAAATTAAGCAGCAATGCTTCCTTCCCCTTTCCTCCCACACGTGAATGCTGAATGTTCCAGTTTCTAACCATACCATCATGCAAATTCTTTCAGATGTGAATATTTAAAATAAATCAGTTGATTCTTTCTCATTAAAAAAAAAAAATAACATTACACTTATTTCCTTTGAGGGTATATAAAACATGCTTTTTCCCATTTTTTCTATTTCAAATATTTGTATCTTGCAGTTGCAGTAGAATATTACTAAATAAACGCTTATTGAAACCACTAAAATGTTTCTTTTTACCAAAGGTACAGCAATCAACACTAGACATGCAAGTAGGACTGAGGCAATGGTGCCTGACACTCATTTTTTACTTTTTAGAAATTCTCATTTAAAACTGTGGAGATTTCTTACATGAGTATCTACAAGCTCAGTACTTACTGGTTTTGCATATTCCCTATGGTGACTTAAAGAAGTTCAGTGAAAATCTGCATTACTCCATCTGACCTTAATTTTTAATGCATTTTAAAGTCATTAACATTCAGTCAGAATCAGTACTACAAAATTAAACTTTTTATTTCTTTGTAAATATCAACAAATAGATAGCATTCTATCATTTTTATGCACCAAAATTTAGCATTGTCTTGATGAGTTGTTTTCAGGAATAAAACAGAACTTCTGATTTGTTTTTTAATATTTATTTTTTATTTATAGACACACTGGTGATGAAAATAATTGCAACAGACGCAGATGAACCTAATCACTTGAATTCTAAAATTGCTTTCAAGATAGAGAGTCAGGAACCTTCAGGTGCCCCCATGTTTATTATGAATAAATACTCTGGAGAACTCCATCTTGCAAATTATCTTGACAGAGAGGTAAAATTTCCCTTTCTAAAGTTAAATAACGTGATGTTGTGGTGTATATGTGTTATGGGGGCGGGGGGAGCAGGAAGAAAAAGGTTGTGGTTTTTACAAAAATCAAGGGAGAAATGCATTTTTTCTCTACACTACAATAAAATGCCTAAGGCAAATTCCTGCATTAGGAAATAGTAGCAAGACATGAGTATTTATAACTTTTAAGGTGTACTGGTGGTCCTTCTAACATGCTCATTTCTCTTTCTGTGACAGCAACACAGTAGCTACACCCTTGTCGTGAAGGCGTCAGACCGGGATGGAGCTGCAGATGGAATATCATCCCTTTGTAGCTGTAACATTAAAGTTATTGATGTCAATGACAACTTCCCAACTCTTGCTCAAAGCTCTGTAAGTTTTTAATAACAACAGCAACATCACTGTTTTAAAACCCTGTTTAAAAACCCAGTTGATAACAGAGCCCTTACCAACCCATACAGTGCTTTCACATTTGAATGCTCCACTGGATTAACAGGGTTGTTTCCTCAAAACATGCTCAAAATCCAATCTGTCGCTTGCACACCAATTCTGGTAACATACACATAGATTATTTTGGTATTCAGAGACAATGTCAGTCCTGACATTGCCTTCTCTGTATTCAGAGAAATCCAGTCATTCAGGTGTCCAGACCCACGCAATACAGCCAGATCACGTAGATTAACCCAATCTTTGTATGATCTTTTCTTATGCACAAATCCATTTCCTCTAAACTGCCTCTGCAAACACTTGTGGTGATACATCTCTTCAGATCTGCAGCTAGCATCATAATTTACCCAGAACACACAATTTTTATTAAATTGGCATGGACTGTGGGCAGGACATCCTTCAAAAGAATCTCTGCAGTCAGCTGTGTTTTCCTCACGTTATGTATTTTAGGGTTTGCTAATAGGTATTTATCTGTCATTCCAGTTTTCAGCAAGTATTTCAGAAAATTCACTCAGTTCAGAATTGCTACGAATACAGGCTCTGGATGCTGATGAAGAGTTTACAGAAAATTGGTTAGCAGAGTTTTTCTTTATATCCGGTAATGAAGATAACTGTTTTGAAATTGTTACAGATCGAGCTACAAATCAAGGAATCCTTAGAGTAATTAAGGTATGGATAAATATTGTGATTCAACTGTTGAATTAATCATCTTAAAATAGTTTTAATTAATTGTTAACAAAAATAAATGAGCAGTAAACCACTGTCACTCAACCATTTAAAATAGAAAATATTGAAATAAAATTAAAGGAATTTTTATATATTATCTAGTTCTCTGTGGTTTATCTTTTAGGAACTGAATTATGAACATCTCCAAACTCGCTCATTGCTTATTGGTGTCAGGAACGTAGCTCCCTTCCACCACTCTGTTGCACATGACTTCCAAATATCTGGAACACCCCTCACAATAGAAGTAAGAAATGTGATTGAACCACCAAGATTTCATCCATCTTCAGTTGTGTTTTCTGTATCAGAAAGCACAAGAATGAATTATGTTTTGGGAACATACACAGCCATCGATGAGGACACTGGAGCTATTGCATCAAATGTTGTGTAAGTTCTGCTCTGCTTAACTCCCTGGACTGAATTATTCTTTTAATTGAGATGTCAATGGGATGAGGAATAAGTATTTTAAAGGCTGCTTAAAAAACAACTTAAAAAATGTTAATAGATTAGCAATAGAATAATAGCAATAGAACAATTCAGCCCATTTTTATGCTATGATTGCTTTTGTTTCCTGACCTACATTACTTAGCCTTGTGCACAAGAGAAAGAAAATATTTTTCTAACAGGCTGTAACTTAAATAAATCAGAACAGAATATTTTTCTTAAATGTTTGCTACAAATAGCGCATTTGTTAGCATCTCTAAAAAAGCAAGCAGAAATCCAATAATGGGCAATATTATACAATCAGAATAGAAAAGGTCACTACCAGCTCATTCTGTAGTAAAAAAAAGAAAAAAATAATTATTTGACATTTATTTCTGCTGAAATTAAAAATAATTAATGGGACCGTGATTTGCTTTTTAATGTATGCAGAAATAAATACATCCAATTTACAAAGGTTGAAAAGTTTTCATAAAGAAATATGTTAGCAAATACAACTGTAGCATGCTATAGGAAGAGCTGTGGATTAAACTACTGATATTAGCAAGGGTTCTAGTAAATGTTTATAGGGTCCAGAAAGATTTTACTTTTAGACTATGATATCATTTTTGAAAATATAATGGACTTCTACACACTTACCTTATCCTTAATTATTTTTCTGGTCTCCATCTTTTTGAAGTCTTCAGGAATTTTGCTTGAACAGGTGAAAAGGGGTTGGACTAGATGACCTCTAGGGGTCCCTTCCAACCCAAAACATTCTATGATTCCATGATTCTATGAAATGCAATAGGATCTAGCACAGCCTAAAGAAAAATATTCCAAAGTGACAAATATTATTTGCAAAATTAATATGTAATACATATATTCATAACATAATGCCGAGTATTTTTGCTTCACTAAATACAGATATAGTATAGGACGTGATCCAGGTGCCTGGTTCAGAATAAATCAAAAGACTGGTGAAATCACACTGAAAAAAGCTGTTGACTGGGAATCAATCCATCTAGAAAATGGGCAGTACAAAGCGGAGGTTCTGGCTATCACCAGAGGTAAGAAAAGAGATTAAGTTTTCTGAAACAAAACTCTATTGTTCCAGATTTCTCTCAATGTTTTTTCCTGTTTCTAGTTTTCCCACCTGAACTGATTTATTTGTAGTATCCATATTCCCTCCTGTTCACAAATATCTTCTTTTTACAGGGGTTCCTCAATATACTGCCACTGGCACCATTGTGCTTTCATTACGAGACATCAATAGCAATTGCCCTACTATTAATACTGAATTAAGGAAAGTATGTATGCATTCCCCATCAGTGATTATCACAGCAAAGCATGTGGATGGTGTTCAGTATGCTCCCCCCTTTACATTCAGCATACATGGTGAACCTCAAACTACATGGATCATCAGATCAATAAATGGTAAATTAACCTACACTTTATAACAGAATAAACCATAGTAATAAGTTCTTATCTAAGATAACAGGTTAGGATAACCGTTTAATAACAAAAAAACCCCAGTTATTAGAATCTATTCTAATCTCACTCTAATGTGATTTTATGCTCATGTGAATCTAAGTAGTTTCTCTGGATTTGCATTTATATATATATATATAAAAATCATACTAGAACTAGAATCAGAATCACTACATGTGTTTTATCTAGTTATAACCTTTTAAGAGAAATGAAAAATATACTGATAAAAGTAGAGCAGCAAAACTGTACTTTACTATGATATACTTTACTACAATAAGCTATTGGTCTAAACCTAATGAAGTAATTCAAAAGGAGTAATTTGATACCTTTTTATTTCTACACTATCTAAAAAATTCTAAGCATATGACAAAACTCTCACATTTATTTATCAGAGTATAAAGTTATCAGTTGGCAGAGCTTTACTTTTATGAGAGGCATATGAAAATGTCAAAAAAGATTACAGCTTTTGCAATTTATTGTACAAATTGTAGTTACTTGTATTTCTAAGAAAAACATTTCAGTCAGTGCTCAGTGGTGCTTTTCCAGTTTCATTCAATAGGACGTAACAAACTAATGAATTAATCAAATTTCATACATTACTAAACAACAGAATTTGATAACTTACTGTATGCAAAAAGACTGTATTAAATGGTAAATATCACAATTACAGCTACTTTTGTGTCTCCTATTTGTTTTAAACAAATGTAAACATGTCATTTTAAACTCTTTAAAACTACTGAAAGAAAATTGAAAAACACATGTAAATTCCTTGTGAGAGAAAAAAAAGTATAAAACTTGCAATTTGTATGTTCACCGCTGTGCAAATAGAAGACAGGAAAAGCAGCAGTAGATATAAAAAAGTGCATTTGCCCCTTTTATACTTCTCAGGTTAAAAAGTGATGACTAGATTGATCTGGCTCCGGTTTTCCAAAAGAAAAAATTAGCATAGATGGTTATCATAAGTTTCAGCTTTGAATAAATACTGTAGACACATAAGTAACTGAAGATCTTAGAATGGGAACACTTAGTCTTCATTCCGTTCTATGAATTCATACAGTATTTATAATCAATACTTTTATCTAAATATTTCTCTTTTTTTTTTCCCCCCAAAGCCTCCTCTGCAGAACTAATGAGCCAGAGCATTGACTTTTACATTTATAGGATCTATGTCAGCGTAAGAGATAATCAAGGCCGACGCTGCTCTAGACCACATATAATTCCTGTGCAAGCTTGTCAGTGTGATAGTCGTAATTACTGCACCAGTGGGGCCACAAGAATAATCATCATCGGCAGCGGTGGTGGCAGCGGTGGTGGCAGCAGTGGTGGCAGCAGTGGTGGCAGCAGTGGTGGTGCTGTCGGCGGTGGTGCTGGTGGCGGTGTTGATAGTGGAGGAGGCCAGGTCGGTGGAGGACAAGCGGGTAAAGGAGATGGTAGTAAAGTTGAGCCTGGAGAATACACTGACTACAACACAGATGGGCAGGTTTACACCGACGGATATGGTGATGGAGGATATACTGCAGCCACTGATTATAATTATAATGGAAATGTAAATTATGGCAGAGAAATGTCTTCTACCACACTCAGCGGTGCTGCCATTGGCCTGATGTTTCTTGGTGGATTAATATTTGTTCGTAAGTATAAAATTCAGAAAATAATTTTATTAATTTTCTAAAAACTGTATTTTTAAAATTCTGCTAAAATAAGGTGAGTTTTCTACTTAGTTGTTAACCTGTTGGCTCACATGGGTTGGCTCAATTTGACAGAGAAAAAATTATCTTTTAAATTATAAGAATTTCTATATATTTTATATTCTACATATCTATATACATATTTCATTCAGAAATAACTATGTCTTTCCTAAGACTTAGGGGTTTTTTCCTAAGGTGTTATCCAGTTCTCAGATCATTGGACAGGGTAAAAATAGTTAGTAGAAGATTCAGAAGATCTTGGGCAAGAGCTGTCCCTGTCACTTCCAACTTACACTTTGCAATTTGTACTTCCGCTACATTACTAAAAGAAATGGACAAATACCAGCTCAAGTTGTGTACGAAAAGATGTAAAGAACAAGCTTCCTTTGAAATAAAAGCCAGATTTCAGTAGTAGAACAATAAATATAATTATCTTAAATTTTGAACATTTTGGCTATTGCTGCCAAACACTACAGCTATGAAAAACAAGTAGCATTTGTGATAACAGGATCAAACCAGATCATTCATTCATATATCCTAGCATTTTTGAAGAAATATGAGTTTCAGAGATAAGAATGACTCAAGATAGACTTTATGCAAGCAATTACTTCTCAGATTACCTCAATCAAATGTGATCGTCTTTCTTTCACGACCTGGGCATCAAGCAATCAACATCTAAAATTTCCCAGTTCAGAAATACTGACTACAGAACCAGAGGAAACAGATTTTTCCCCTGATTTTTTGAGGAGAGGGGTTTGATTTGGGTTTTGATCTTTGATTAGTAGGAATCAACAAACACAAAATTTTGAAGCCGGAAAAGGCTATTTTGTTTGCAGTTCCCAGGCGGTTAATGCTACACAACAGGCTGTCTTTCTGCCTTTGGAAATCTCCTCTCCTAGTTGGTAGTCTGGAGTAAATACGTCCTTAGTTGTGCAGTGTGAGATAGCACTTTGTACACCGTATAGCCCTTTCCCCTTTTCTCTTCAGTTTACTTTGATGTTAAACTGAGAGTTTCAGATGCTCTGCTTAGTCTGATGTAGGCAACTGTCTCTCTCACTAACTTAGCTTATCTAGGTTAAGGACCTGAAGACAGCCAGAATTAACATTGTGCTGACTTTCTAAAACGAGCAACGCTTTCAATGCTGGCATTTAAAGCATTCAGCGATTTCCAACACTGACGTCTTGAAGCAACTAAGCATCACACAGCGCACTGAGAAACCCGACTCACTCTGTGTGATCATTTGTTAAAACTGGGGTTTGGGGTTTGCCTCTACTGTGTTTTTCAAATCAGGCATTATGTATACGTGATGTGAAAAATGCAACTGGAGCCTTAGCCAAAGATTACTGTAGCCAGATGGATATCTCTCCAGTGATTCTCTTATGTCTATTATTACTAATGTGTATTTCTTTTCAATTACAATATCTGAAGAGACAAATGTATGCTCAATGTATATCAAGAATGAATATCACCGAATGCTATTCATAGCAAGACTGGTTCTGTTTGTTTAATTTTCATACGTATGCAACTTATGTTCATTCAGCTGAGATAGATCAAAGTCTGTTCCCAGGTGTATAGGCATAAATTTGGAGTAACAGCCCTACTCCACCCCCACTTTGCTCTGCTATAACTAAAGGTACAAATTATTCTGAATTTCCAAATACAGGCATTTCCAAAAGCAGCTAATGATTCTGAAAGCCAGACTTGCAGGCCAGGCTGCTTGGTTTGAAACATTTTAAAAGACATATTTTCAAAAGTTCTTGAGCACCTGCCCTCTGGGAAAAAGCAGCTATTCCTGTGAGGAACAGATGTCCTAAATCCCTGTTTCCTGTTTCTTTCCTGCTAAGTGATTCCAATTTTGATGTCAATGAGCGACTGTTGTGGCTGTGGACCTGGCGCTGCAGGTGGAGTTGGAACTGGATTTGAACCTGTACCTGAATGCACAGAAGGGGCAATTCATCCATGGGGAATAGAAGGTGCACAGCCTGAAGACAGGGTCAGTACACCCCACGTTTCTAAAAACAGTTGAAACTCATAGTTACAGAAAAGACTGCATTTGACTAGAAGCATGAAAGTGACAGTAACACTGTGTCGTCTTCTGAAAGAAGCCTAGCATTGTCAGCAATTGCCAGGCAGATACGAAAGGTGATTCTTAATTAACAATTGCAGATGGAGTTTGCGTGTTTTAAGTTGTGTTCGCTTAGATTGGCCCAACAGATTGGTGTTACTATCCCCGCAGCTGAAACACAATAACTAGCAAGCTTTTTCAGTGCAAAGTAGGACAAGGTAACACAAACTGTCTTCACTGATCACCTTTTACATTGACAATGAAAAAAACTTGAACGGAGTCTTTTTATTTTTTCTTATGGGGATGGTAATTAATAGCTATCGTTAACAGTTTAGACTGCTAATTCCTTAACATGATTCGCAAAGTCTTGGTCTTCCTATGGGAATTTCAAAGTCATCATTCAAGGAGTCAAAATGTTGTTTTCCAGGATGTCTCACACATTCTTGCCCCAACAACAGCTGCAGGAGGTGATTTTGGTGAACCCTCTGGTAAGCAGATCCTAATATTTCCTATGTACGCTGTCATACAGCTATCTTTCAGAACTTCATGTCTTTTGATTCAAGGAGCACTTTGGTTTCATAGCTATAACCCAACCCTTCCAATCTTACATCTGTAGGTAGTCAAACTAATACTCGTAGGACTGCCAGTATGAAAAAAGGAGTTGAGGTTTGAGCCTTTGAGCAGATTTATTTCTTCAAACTACATTTATTTTGAAATATCTGCCAAGGCTTTCAAATCTCAGGCAATTTTTCTTTATCCTTCCAGTTAGTGAGTGGAGGGTCTTTTCAAGACACCAGTTTTAGCAGAAATCAATCCTGAGGCCAAAATAAGGAAATTTTCTTTCGTAACTCAGTGGTGAAAAGTTCGGTTCTTCCCAGTTTCCAGGCTCTGCTTCTCACAAGGGAGACCAGGACCTGTCAAGTAACCAGTTAATTACCACCCATTTGTGCACTAGCCTAGACAGAAAGCTGGTACAATAGCACAATAAATTTATGCTTCTGAGATAAGTTTCCCCTGGGAATTCAATGGCCAAAGTCAAGCTGTGCAGCGCCACTTTCTCTTTCTCCCCATTCCTTACCCCACAACAGGAAGGAAGGATGCTGGCACAGACCCATTTTCACTAGCTTCTGACAGGAAAAAAATGTCACTCTGCAAGATAACCTCTCTTATGACTACTGATTATTCAAAAATGTTCTCATCCTTAAGGTAAAATCAAAAGAGAACATTTGGGGGCATAATCATGAATTAAGACTCTTCATTCTTAGGGGAGTTCTGCTTCCACGACAATTGGAAAGTTTAAGACTTACACATGAGATTTGCTTTATTTCCACTGTTTAGTACCGTTATGGTGAAAGCCCCTGGTTCAAATTCTGTAAACTGAGACTAACAAGATTAAATGAAAAAAAAAAATATAATTGAGCCTATGTTTCTTAATGTAAGAATAGTCAAGACTATTGTATGCAACTGGTTTATTGTATTACATGCTGATATTTAAGACCACTCATTCCTTGTTATCATATATGAAAAAATCTGGAGAAGATAAAATCCTGTAAGTGTGACTTTATAATTTATTGTAAAGGTCATTTTCCTTCTGTATTATAAACACTGGTGGTTATTATGATCCATTGTTGTTCTCCCAAATCCCCCTACACAATCTAACAACTAGAAAATGTGAAAGGAGTTACAAAGCTATTTCTTTTAGAAAAGAGTTTTAGGAAAAACAATTTTAACCCCAATGTCACCATAAATACACATTTATGTTTTGCATAAATATCCATAAACATAATCTGATTTTCTAATGCAAATCCCATGACAGCATATGTGTACACCAGACAGAGGAATGTCTCCAGTCAATTACACAAGTAAATCATTGATTTTCTAAAGCACATATGCACTTGCTCCCTAGCCTCAGGAATAAAATCAAAGTCTTAGATGTCTGCTAATATGCGCTTAAATTTTATTGCAGTTTCAATGTTTGGCACCTGTGAATGGATTTGTGACTGAAGTTAGTCTAAAATACCTTTAGAAACTCAGTAGCGTCATTGTACTATTTGTAAAAGCAACTGGCAAGTACTGTGTAAATTTTTGCAGAGCACAGGAAGGACAGATTTTCTTTATCTCTTTTCAGATATATATACAAACACATATGGAGGAGGAGGAGTAGTAGCTTCTGGTGTTGAAGAAACTACGGGGGTTGGCTATGGTACTGGTACTGGTTACGGAACAGCTGGAGGAATTTCTGGAACAGGGGAAGTAAAAGGGTCAATTGGAGGAACAATAAAAGAGTATCGAGAAGGAGGGGTGAACATGGCCTTCCTAGACAACTACTTCTCTGAGGTAATTACCTGATCTTCTTTACGTTGTATCTGTGAGCCTACTGTTAGATTCTCCTTCCCAAGTTACATGGTAGAAATCCAAAATAACTCCACTCAAACTGAAACTTCCATGATGTGATCTCTGGTGTGAGAGCAAAGCTGACCATATTAGTAGGAAAAACTACAACACTAGTAGTACTGCTTTTGAGCTGCTGGCATAGTAGATTTGATTGCTCAATAGCCTTTTTGTAAAACTGATGGACACAGTGCAGTTATGGGTAGCAAGCAATTAAATTCAGCTTCATAAGTGACCACCAAATTTATGTATCTGACACCTTTTTCAGTGTGTACATAGATAATAACTTTGTGAAATTGTTCAGAGGTACTTTCTGTACAGCTTGTTTAATGAAATGACTTTAACCCTTAAAGAACTGTGAACGCCAGTTCACTTCCTTCCTTATTTTTATTGCCATTTCTGTTCCCTAAAAGATTGGTGAACTACGAGTGACACACATAGGCAGTTTTGTAATTGGTAACATATTAATTAGCCTTTACATATAGAATAAAAAAAATCTATGGAGTTTACATGTTTAATGCATTAATGGGATATATTTTCACAATTAGCATGAACTGTGAGGCTATACTATAATACTATACTAATACTATAATACTATACTAATAGTATATACCATATTAATACTATGATTGCATATGTCACCAAATTATCAATTAATGTATAAGGACTGCTGTATTTCAAAAGCTAAAAAAGATTCAGTGGAGGAGAGGACAGAGCAGTCCTGAAGTCCTGAGTATGGACTTCTCCCAGATTGCGATCTCCCTGCCTTAACTGTCTGCCAGCCATAGGTCCCCACACATTACCCCTCCTACTGACCAACTACATCTCCAAACCTTCTGCGTCTCCCTCCCAGGCCTCCCCTTCCATCCTTCCTTGCTTCCCCCAACATCACCCCTCACTCACTTTAAATTCTCCTCTTTTCTGCCCGATCCCTCTGCACTGACCACCCCACCATCCCTAAGGCCATCACAAATCAGTGATCTCCAGCCTGCTCAAAATGGATTCCCCTTCTGGGCTCACTAATCCTTCTTCACTGTGGGAAACTCTCTGTCCCATCCCCTCTGTCCTGACCTCTTCACTGCTCTCCTCGCCAACCTGCTTCACTCCTCGTCCTACCGCTTCGTCTGGATATTGCTGCCCAAAGACTACATTCGTTCTGCCATTTCACCCTCTCCTTTCACCCCACAATCAGACCCACTGATGGCAGACCAAATTTGAGACGCTAAGTGTTTGCAGAAACAAGAATAAGATATCAGCAACCTTTGAATAAAACTTACTTCAAGGTCACAAAAATGCTGATGATATAACTTGTCCAGTTGATGACCTGTTTTTCAAGTCAGATGGGCTTTATTGGGGTTAGGGAACCCTTACTACAGTTTGAGTCTTCGTCGTTAAAAAACTGATGAAAAGTCACTTTGTTCTACTTTTTTTCCTGTTTTTTCAAACCACAGAAAGCATTTGTGTATGCAGATGAAGATGAAGGTCGGCCGGCAAATGACTGCCTATTAATATATGATCATGAAGGAGTCGGTACTCCTGTTGGCTCTGTGGGTTGCTGCAGCTTTATTGGAGAAGATACAGATGAAACATATTTGGATACATTAGGACCAAAATTTAAGACCCTGGCAGAGATCTGCCTGGGCAAAGAGATTGAACCTTTCCCTGATGTCAACCTGCCCTGGCCAGGCGTTAATGTCACCTTTCCCAACCCTGAAAGTGATCTAAACCTCCCGCCACCTGGAACCACCATCATTGTCAACGGATGTGCACCTATGCCTCCCCCAGTCGGCACTACAACGGTTGTTACTGAAAACACCTACACATCTGGGTCAACCATACAGCCCCCGAGACCAATGCCGGATCCTTTGCTTCATGGCAACATGACGGTGACTGAGACCTACACCTCTGGCTCCCCCTCTCTCTGCGTTGACCCCCTGCGTGCATCCAACGTTGTTGTAACAGAAAGGGTTGTCGGTCCTGCGTCTGCCTCTGATTTGCGTGGCATGCTAGATATCCCCGATCTGGCAGACGGGTCCAATGTTATCGTCACAGAAAGAGTAATCGCGCCTAACTCCCGGCTCCCAACCTCTCTGAGCATTCCCGATTTGGTAGATGGGTCAAATGTGGTGGTGACAGAAAGGGTGTTCAGGCCTGCCTCCGGCATGCCAGGCAGCTTAATAAATATTCCCTCGGAGTTATCGAACGCCCACAACGTGGTGGTCACCGAGAGGGTAGTGTCAGGGTCTGGGATGAGCAGCCTGGGGGGGACAAGCCTAGGGGGGGCAAATCTGGGGGGCCTGAGCAGCACAGGCCAGATGCTCAGTGCCGACTGTCACCTTGGCCAAGCAATGGGCACGGTGTCCCCTGGCACCTCCCGGAGGAGGGTGACCAAGTACAGCACTGTGCAGTACTCCAGTCAGTAAAGCCCCTGACGGCACCCCTTCCTGCCGAAATCGCCACTTGCACCAATGCTCGTTAGCTGCCACCGACCAAGAATATTGTTATTATTTATAACTAGGAAATAGCGCTAAAGTTTCAGGGATTCCTACATGTGTGAGGATCCCCGAAGGGTGCCCCGTTTCAAGGTCAAATGCAGGACTTTGTCAGTGAAGGGGAAGTTGAATTAGCTTTAAATTTATTTCTTTCTCTCCACCTAGCACTACAGGTGTACAAACAGAGACTAACTTTTTTGGAGAGAGATCTAATTACCAAGCAGAGCAGTGAGAGGGGCTCCTTGTGCGCATACAGTATCAGCATGAATTAATGTCATATTAAAAAACTGTTAAAATACTGTACTACTGAGTGATCTCCCACAATAAGCAGATTTGGGTTAATACCCCCCCACTGACAAGAGAGGAAAAGAATGTAATTAATAATTAGTCAACTCAAGACTAAAGAAGCACTTTCAAATACATCACTTTACTTTGCATGTAATTCAAGGAGCGCTGCAAACCAGCACTTTCAATCATTTCTCCCACCACCAGCAACAGTTATAAATAATAATCATATAAACACAATATATTTTCATCACTTTCTGAAGTTCTCAGTAAAACAAACACTCTGCCACGGCCTGCCATGTTGTTACTCTCATGGTGAGGAGCGTGACCAGCAATTGGCGGCAGCCGGCGCTGCCGCATTGACTGTCACCCAGGAAGATGTTGGTTTCGTCTTTTCTCCATTACCACTACAGCTTTACTTAAATGTAAAAGGACTTCAGTGACATCTAGGAGCTCTTAGTCAGATTTCTGTGCCAGACTATTGACAATCATTTAAGTCTCCAATGTCACATTATATTAAGAGGTCTATAATATACCGTGCCAGTTCCTTTTTCTAATACGGACAAGAAAATAAAGTCTTAGAAGCTTTATGATGTGGGGAGGCAATAGCAAGTACCGTATCACTGACACTGGTAGCTGAAGTCCTTCATGAAAAGAAAAAAAAACACTTGGGAGCAATATAAATTTGCTAATAAGCGATGTGGAGAATTGTTATTTCATATGTCAATGTATTTTGCATTGATATTTTGAAAGCTTATTTGAATGTCTTAACTGAAAAAGTCTTTATGATTCTATAATCTTAATTAAATCTGGCTTTTATTTTCCCACAAAAACAGCTCTGCTGGACTCTGTTATTCTAATAATACCTTAACGTGGCTTAGAATATGGTCTGAAGGAGCAATATACTGAAACATAGTATCTATCTCATTTTTCTTTTGTATCATATGTATAGTAACCATAGTGTACGCAACATCGCTTCAGTGTAAATACAATAGAGTTATACAGAGGGACTAGCTTTTTTTGCTAGACCACCAAATCAGTAGTTTTCCCTCAAATTTTGCTTCTTCACCTTTGATCGATAGGTCAGTGAAAAGTTTGAGAGTTGTCTGTGAACCTCCCATTCTATAAAATGCAGAAGAAACTTCCAGTTGCGTCTCCAGATGAACTCATTTCAGAAGAACTGGATGACAAGTTTCTGAGTCTGGTATCAGCAAAAGGCTTTTTAAAAGATGCTTCCAGAAATGCAACTAAATCTGCTGTCACAGACAACCTGCAGTGCCCTCTGAGTCAATGCCACAGCCATTAACACCAGTAATCCCCAGGAGTCATGACCAAATCCTAGGCTGCCTCAAGAAAGGGTCCCTTCCATGGCTTCAAGTTTTTTTCTGAAGCAACCGAGTGTGCAACTGAGTGTGCTACATGCTCTCCCCGTAATGCCTGAAGTATTGCTGGTTTTACTTCATCCGGTAGCCTTGAGTATCTTAAGTATCACTAAAATTACATTGACTTCAGTGGGACTGGTCTCTCCTATACGTTATGTACCAGCTGTAAGTATGGTTTCTGGAGCCATTCTTTAGAGAAGAAAAATAGGTACTAATATATAAAGGCGTATCCTTTTATATCTGGAGAATTTGTGCTGAAATTCACTAAAATGTTGACACGTTCCCTTTCATTTTGCTAACCCATCTATTTACATAAAAAAGCAAATATTTGAAATATGTATGACTCTCTGGACATTTGGAAAGCCAATGCAATATAGCCAAAGCCCATTAGAGATATTTTTAATGTAAAAAAAGATGAAGTCTTATGTAAATATTTCCATAATCATCTCAAGCAAATCAGAATCATTTTTCCTGTGTTTCAAAGTAATATCTAGTCTCCAGAAGCACATGCTTTATTCTTTGTGACCCTCTTGAACAGGAATGCTGTGTGAAGTATGAGTGTCTGAAATAACTATGGTCTCTTGCATGTCTAGAAATAGAAAGGGGAAGAATTAATAGAGAAAAAAAAATTTTTCAAAGCACAGCTTTTGGTTATGTGGTGGTTGTCTACTTCTAGTACTATCCTTTGCCAACTTTTTAAAGATAAATAGAACATTATTTAATACAATTTCCTGACAGATTTCTAGCATTTTTTAATCTCAGTGTCTCACATCAAACAGCAATCACAACATTATCCCTCAGCACATTTCCAGTGCATTTCTGAATTTTAATTTCTATTGCTGTGTAATTTTTTACAAACTTTCTTTAAATTGTTTTCTTAGTGAGATGTGGACATTTTTAGGTTACTGCAAATTGTGGAAGAAAAATGTGTCTGAAGATGTGGACAAATACTCGGTTCATTAAAAATTCTGTGTAAATTCTTTTTCTAGCTTTATGCTTTAAAAATAGTATATAGTTTAATCCTGACTAACAGACATCAGGTTTGTTTCTTTCACTTCAGTTGTAATTTAGAAGCCCTCTTGCTGTCTACCTTTAATCATGTTGTTTAATAATGAAGAATGAATGATTTTCAGGAAAGAAAAACAACTTTGAGTAGTGGTATTAATCCTGTTCTAAATCATTCAAGCAAAAAACCTCTTATTAAAGTGTCAGCAGCATGCAACACCGAGTCTATGGCTTTCTTTTTTTACTTTGGTTTTGTAGAGCAGGATCCTACAATTTTACACAAGCTCATTGAAATCTTGGCAGCAAATGCTATCTGAATTTGAACTGCAGGTTTCGATCCTTTTTACTCAGTCCTCATTTTGTGGTAATAAATAAGATATTTAAACTATTGTGAGCAGCACCTACTACTTGTAATATGAATAGACAACACAATTTAAGCAAAAATTAAAAAAGTCTACTGTTTTGTTTGAATTAACATTACTACATAATTCAAATGCTCCTCACTATTGAGTAACCAAATGCATCATTTTCATTTTATTTAAAAAATAATTACTCTTACAGAGTTATTGTGTTTTCATAAATAAAAATATTAGAGATTTGTTTGTAATAATTTCTGAATGGCACTGAAAAAATACAATAAATGATCATTTGGAACATTATGTTTTAAGTAGAGTGGCTCAGGATTATTTTTTTTCCATTTATCAGTGGGAAATGTAGTTTCCTTAAAACTGCTGGTTTGTGCAGGAAAACTCTAGTTTTAATTTTCTTTCAGAAAAAAAAAAAATTGAAACAAAAGGTGTTGATGTAGAAAGTCAGGGCATCCCAGGGTGAAACTATTTCATGTGTCAAATTGACTAAGATACTTTATTTTAGGTTGTCAAGCAGAACCTTTTGTCAGGTCTCACAAGAATTAGAGTACAATTTCCTCAAGCCATCGTCCTCTGCTTCCTTCTCCCTCTTTAGACAGCCTTTTCTATGATACCTTTCTGTCCTGCAACTCTGAAACAGAGCTATAGATTAGTGCTGGAGAGCAAGCCACAGAGATGAAAAAGAGCAAAAGACGCTTGAACCACAGTATTTGGGCAGCACAGGCATCGCAGGTACGTTCAGTGAAGACAGGTCAAGCTGAGTTGAGCCAAGCAAAAACATTTTGGTTCTAAAAGTAAAAACAGTACATTTAGGCACTTCTGAATCAAATTTCTTTCTAATGTTCCAGGCCAGTATTCATTATCATAACGATTTTTCCTGCAGATTTTTCAGAAGGATTTATTTGAATGCAGTGAAACGCTGATTTTAAAAATAGAATCATATATTTACTTCTAAACCTAATGTATCACTTTATTATGCCTTAACATTTTGTCATCTTTTTTCTCAGGATTTCATATGGCATGATTTTTGGCACTCACACATGTCTCAGATAACGATTTAAATATCTTCTCAGGAAGTTAAGTTAGAAAAAATCATTGTCCATCTCCCAACTTACAGCAATGATATTGCTATCAGTCTGATGACACTGCTAATTCCAGTGCAAGATAATTTATCATTTATCTTCTGTGCATTTAGAACCTGCTTATGTGGACATAAAGCAAAATTCTGTTAAATAAAACCATTTGTTATGTCCAAGCAAATTTTGTTGAAATCTATGGGAGTGCATGTACAAGTTAAAAATGGGTCAATAGACATAGAGTTCTTTCATATTCCAAATGCATTAAAATTTTACAAAAAAGGAGAACAATGACAAAATTACAACTGGTGACAGTTTTGGATACACTTTTGTATAATGACAAATCTGTCATATTTTCCTGTTGCGGCCAGCATCTTGTAATTCAAGATACAGCACAATAAGGTATGAAATAGAACAGACATGAAAAGCCAATTTAGGAAACAAAAGCTGCTTAACTGACATCAGTCATGTACCCTGACCTTCGATATTCATCATACACTGTTGGGCCTCCCTGCACATTTAGTTAGCTAGCTGTGTAGCCCTTTTATTTTTCCTATTTTCTAGGAAAGCTTACAGGCCTTTTTCCAACTCATTCAATAAAGATTTGATTCAAGCCAGTCTAAATCTAGGGAAAATGAATAGTAATTTTGTACCTGCAGGCTTTAATCTTACAGTGATCCCATACCAAAGATCTGGGCAAGGGTCTGCCCATGTGCCAGTAAATGCAGGCTCAGGTTTTCAGGGAGGTGAATCATCTTAAGACGCTGGACCGGCACTCAAGAGATAAAGATCCCCCCAGGACTCCTTATAGGAAC